ACACACACACACACAAACACATAACAGACACGGGTGAGTGAGCTAATGAACGGCAGAGAAGGATCGAAGTAGACTGTCCAACAGAGACTTGGTTTTGGAGATCAGCTTCAGTAGCAGCTTGTACCTTAAAGCAGTTCTCGTCTGACATAAGTTGCTCTGCTTTCCTCTGGTATGTTGATTCCAGAAGGCTCCTTGATGTCTGACTGTTCAGCTGGCCTCCAGTGGCTCCATTATTGTTTTCTGCCAAGTAAAGGTCAGTAACCTGCACACAAACCTCATCGCTGACGATGTGCTGTAGCTGGAACAAAGCACAGGCCAGCGGTGAGCGAGGAAAGCACTTTTCCTATCCTCTAGTCATTCAACTTAAAGACATTCTTTTTTTTTTTTTTAAATTTATAAAGTTAAGCATTATCATGCTCATGGAAAAGAACCAAGTCAAGATTTCCTGCCTTTATGAACACTTCATAAAGAAAACTCACATATATGTAAAGCAAAACCAAGTCTCAATAGTACGTTTTCCATCCATGTTTCCTAGCAAGTAAATAAAATGTTACCCAAGTGTTTTTTAAAAAATGTTTTGCAGTTATTGGCTTTTGTTTTTGTTCATGACAGGGTCTAATGCAGTCTAGGCTGGTTTCAAATTTAGTATGTAGCTTAGAATAACCTTGAAGTCTTAATCTTCCTGCCTCCACTTCCCATGTTTGGGGATTATGACATGTACCACCATACCAGGTTCCATAATTTGTATCCCCACCTCCATGTATTTTTAAATTATTTACAATTTTATTTTCACATATATTTCCAATCGACAAATACTTTGGAAAACAGGCTGGAATAGTAAAGATGCCCTATTGTAAGAATTTTATTTTTGTTGTTAAATAGTAAAACCTTATGAGACCTGGAGTGTGGAGAGGTAGCTCAGAGAACTCTGAAAACAAGGTCCACATGATTTTGAAAAAAAAATTATTTTTATTTATATCCATTGAGTTTAAGCCTGTGGTGTCGGCTGTATGTGTTTGGGTGGCCACAGAGGCTGGAAGAGAACACTGGATCCCCTAGAACAGGAGCTACATGAGGCTGTGAGCCACCATGTGGGCACTGGGAAGAATAGCAAGGGCTCCAAAATTCTGAGCCCATTATATAGGATTCCTAATCTTTGTACAAAACCTGAAACTTAAAACGTTGCTGTATGGCCAAGCAGTGGTGGCACACACTTTTAATCCCAGCAAGCGGGAGGCGTGATCTCTGTGAATTCAAGGCCAGCCTGGTCTACAAGAGCTACAGGATGGGCTCCAAAGCAACAGAGAAACCCAGTCTCGGGGGGGGGGGGGGGGGGTGGTTGCTGTATAAGCCATGTGGGGTGGCCCATGTCTTTGATCCCAGCACTCAGGAGGCAGAGGTATGTGGATCACTTTTGAGTTCAAGACCAGTCTGGTCTATAGAGTGAGTTCCAGAACAGCTAGGGCTATGTAGAGACCCTTCTCCTCATTACCTTTCCCCCAGGAGCTCACCTAATGAGCAGAGCTGAAACTAGAAGTCAAGCTCCTAACCCAAGGCCAACTTTCTCACCATCAGTCCACTGACCAGTCTACACCTGGCAGAAGTATAATCCTTAAATTGTGCATGTTCTTTTTTTTTTTTTTTTAACTCCCAAGGCTGGGTTAAATTAAACCCAGAACCATAAAAGGTTACACCCTTTGTCTTAACGGTGTAGTTGAAAATTGTTAACCTTTTTCTTAATGGGGGATGGCAGGAAGCTTACTAGACCTAGTGACTTATGTTAACAGCCCTAGAAAATTGAACCTTTAATGTACCCTGTGGGCGAACCCTGACCTTGACACATGCTAGGCAAGTGCTTGCTACAACAATGGGCAACATCCCCACCCCACTATTTCTGTTTTAATTTCCCTCACTATTCTTGTTATGAAATCAAAATTCTCCTAGGTGACTCAAAGGGTAAAGTTGATTGATTTCAAGCTTGATATCCTGAGTTTAACGCCTGAAATCCACATGGTGGAAGAGAACACACACCCATAAGGTATTCCTGACTTTCACATATACACATGACACATAATACACAAAATACTTAAATAAATGTAAAAATAGTAACTCTTACAAGTGAAACGAAACCCTACCCATAAAAATACCAGAGAAAAATATAAATTAGGACTGGGGTATATGTAGCTTAGTGGTAGAGGGCTTGCCTAACAAGACAAGCCCTGAGTTTAGTCTCTAACACCAAACCGACCAGGCCCTAGAAACAGAAAAGCATAAATGATAATTTCAATATTGATTTATCTATTTTACTTAGTCATTCTTCTGCTGTCATAGCCACTAAGCTATTCTACCTTTAGGAAGATCTGGTTTTTGTGAAGTATAAACGATCTGGACATCACCATTAAAGTATGACCTGGGAACACAGTAAAAGCTTCACAACGTTTTAAGTGGGGGAGAAAGAGGAGCAAGGTAAAAGTTTATCTAAGACATGAACTCTGTTCCATGAAGACTCCCCTCCTGGCTTAAACCTCGTTAAAGTGGACTATGTACCACTGACTCCCTTTTCATATCCTCTTTTAGGTTTCTGGCCTCTCACAATCTTTGGAAAAGGAAGCACTATAAATCCAGACACAAGTGGCGGCAAGTACACTTACACCCACGTTAAGTCTTTCATCTAGTAACCTGAAATGTTGTAGGGATAGTTTTGAGGATTTGTTTTTATTTTTAAAAAAGAAGTATTTTTTTCTTCTTTTTTAAACAGAGAAACACCTGCATTGAAAAGCTGGGTAATACCAATGCCTGAGGTGCTGAAGTCTCAAGAGAGCTGGAGAAGGCTTATGTCCAATGCAGAGAAACATGAGGATGACGATGTCTAGGGTAAAGGGATGCTTCCCTTGACAGGTCCTCACATTATGACATATTTGAGCTCTATCACAAGAGACCTGAGCCTGTCTACTTAAAAGTTAACCCCTCCTCGTTTTTGAGACAAGGTCTTATGTATCAATCTGGTCTTGAACTTCCTATATAGCTGAAGATGACCAACTTTTGGTCTTCCTGCCTCTTTCTTCAAACTGCTGAGATTATAAGCATGTTACCACACCCATTTTATGGAGTGTTGGAGATCCAACCCAGGGCTTCATGTATGCTTGGGAATTAACTCTATCAATTCAGCTAACTAAAGTCCCAACCTGAAAAAGATAAAACAAATATATGGCCTGACCTTGAAACTTGGTTCAACCAGAATTGAACTCCAGGGGACCACAAAGAAAGAAGAAAAAAAACAATCAGACACTATTCCCTGAAGAGTTATGACAAGTGTGGTGGTTTGAATAGGAATGGCCCCATAGACTCAAGTGCTGGAATGTTTGGCCCATAGGGAGTGGCACTATTAGGTGTGAGTGACCTTGCTAGAAGAAGTGTGTCACTGTGGGATGAGGCTTTGAGATCTCATATGCTTAAGCTACAGCCAGTATGGAATACAGTCTCCTGCTGCTGCCTGCTGACCACGTCTGCTTACATGTTGCCATGCTTCTCGCCAGGAGGACAATGGACTGAACTTCTGAAACTGTAAGCCAGCCCCAATGAAATGTTTCTTTTTATAAGAGTTGCTATGAGTTGGGCAGTGGTGGCGTAGGCCTTTAATCCCAGCACTTGGGAGACAGAGGCAGGTAAATATCTGTGAGTTCGAGGCCAGCCTGGTCTACAAGAGTGAGTTCCAGGACAGGCTCCAAAGCTACAGAGAAACCCTGTCCCCAAAAACCAAAAAGAACTGCTGTGGTTGTGGTATCTCCTTCACAGCAATAAAACCCTAAGACAAGAAGCTTGGATATACCTTTAAAGACACACAGATTTGGGTTTCTGGAGGAAACTCCTATTCTCCAGTTTGTAAAAGTATATTGATAATGTTAACCACACAAATTCATAACCAAATTCTGCTAAGTAAATTAATTCTATTTCAAACATTAACCAAGGGCTTATAGAAAGTTAATTTTATCAGCTTTGTTTTAAAAATACTGGGTTAGTACTATGAAAGACGGTTTGTTCCTAGCTATAGCCAATAGTAAGCTTGGAAGCAGAAATATACATGCGGGAATAGAGCTGGTAACTTATATACATTTAAGAACTCAATAGGGATTTGTCTCTCAAATTATGAGTATAGATGACTATCACTCACCAACAAGACGGACCCCTTTAAAGGAAAGGCTGAGGAGCTTTTCAATTTTCAGAGCTGTCTCACTAACAACTTTCAGTAAGACACAAGATTCAGATACATGCAGCTTTCTTCACCCATCCCGACTAGATTCTGTGAGCATTCAGAGGCAGGTATTCTTCCAAAGCCAAGGAAAACCCAAGGATTCTTTGCAACAGTTATTTTCCTCAAGGGAACTCTAGGCCTTTTCCTCTACTGCAGCAGTGTGGACTCCAGGGAAGATTTGCTTTTTCTATCTTTCTAGATCACAGCATTTATGTGCTCTGATCCCCTAAGAGTTCAGAATACTAGTAGGAAGTCCAGACCTCCCTGTCAGAAGGATAACACATTGGCTGGGTGTGGTTTCTCACACCTGGAATCTCAGTATTCAGGAAGTTGACACAGAAATAATACAAACTCAAGGTCAGCCAATGCTATATCGTGAGATCCTATAACAAACAACTCCACATGTTTAAAATTCCCAAAAATAAAATGTAAAAGCAACTACAAACTGAACATAGTCTCAGATAAATGAGGTGGGCAGAGCATTATAAAGGACTTCTAATATTAAATAAGGCAAATAGAAGGCAATGTTACATCTATGTTTTCTTCCTAGAAAATGTTAGGAGGTGAACCCCTATGCACTCTATCCATGGCCATTAGGACGGGCTCTAAGGAGGGTGACAGTACTGCAACACTGAGAACAATATATGACCCAAATCCAAGGCTGGAAGAGCTGTGTTTTGTTAACAGGACAAACAGATGTTGTCCAGCTATTTCCTCTGAACAGAAACATCAGACTCGGGAAGAACATAAAACATAGAAGGCTCAGTAAGTAAACATGAAAACTTGACTTAGATAGAATTAACCCCCCTCAACACACAATGAGGTCTCATGTATCCCAGGTTGGCCTAGAATGTAGCTTAGAATTATACCTTGAATTTCTAATTCTCCCATAAAAGTAGTAACAGTATCTGGAGAGAAGACATTCTCCCATAGGTCAAGCTGCCTTCTGGTTGTGCACAAGTAATGTGGAATGCCCTTCTATATGCTGTGAATAAGTTTTATTACCATTGGTTAATAAAGAAGCTGCTTTGGCCTATGGCAGGACAGAATATAGCTAGGTGGAAGATACAAAGATACAAAGAAAAAGAAGGCAAAGTCTGGGAGACACTAGCAGCTGCCAGAGAAGCAAGATGTGAGGTAACAAGCCATGAGCCTCATGGTAAAATATAGAATAATAGAGACTGGTTATACAGAAACTGGCAGAATTCAAGAATTTCGGTGAATTGTCAGTCATGCTAGAATGTGTATGGTGGGCTTTTGGGCTTTTCAATGATGTGGCTGCCTTTGGGTTACCTATGTTCATTAAGTAACCCCAATGAACATAATAGTTCAGTAAGCTAGACTTGGTTAGAACTATTTCTTTGGTTTGCTGTCAGTGCATCATAAGGGGAAAAGAGATATTTGTTCATTGTCTCCCCAGGAAAAGCCACACAACATACTTCCCTCGAAATTGGTCCTTTCCTTTTTGAGACATAATTTATAAACACGGTCATATGGTTAAGCTGCTTTCCTTTTCCCATAGAAATCTTGCTTTTTCTTTGCCTAACCCACTATTAGGTAAGGACACCTTCCCTTGGTGGTCTAGGCTCCACCATACCCTCTCACCTGTCTGACGATGCTCTGGATTAGTTTGTCCATAGTAAAAGCAATGTAGGCGTGAATGGTGAACATCTCTCTCAGTGAATCTTCGTACTGTGATGAGTCTATGTTGCCATCAAGCAGGCTCCGCACCATGTCCAGGAAAGCTGGATAATAATCTTCTACATCAACATCCACTATAGGAAAGATGAGACAGGTAAGACCTTACTCTAAGACAAGCTCAAGGACAGAGAGCAGGGAATCCCATAGCTGATCTATACACCATTTGAAAAGACAAACACCAGATATGCAAAGCATGTCCGACTCAACCCAATTCAAACAGAAAAGAAATCTGATAGATTGTAATCACCAGCACTGTCCACTCAAGAATAGTGACTGCAACATCTAACAGTGGCTCCCAACACAGAATGACCACACTAGAGAGGAATTTTAAAGCACTGCTGAGTTCTATGTCATCTGAGAGCCAAATATCCCAAGAGGGTCCTTCAAGTTGCTGGCTCCCCTACTTACACAAAACCATTTCTCAAGGGGGATATCTGCACATAAAGCTATTTCAATGACTAAAATATAGAAAAGAAAAGGCAGGCATAGTTAGATGCTAGCTAGCACTTTGAAACCTCTTGGCCACAGAACAGTTATTCAAATTAAGACCTCTATGAATGAACTTATCTGATTTTTATCAATGTATTCTTGTTTAAAAAGGATTTGCAATGCTGTATCCAACTAATGACATTAAATGATTTATGCTTGTTGCACATGCAGCACTTCAACCAATAGCTGGAATCAATTTTACTAGTAAAGAGGCAGCCACTAGGACAGGGCACTAGGAATGGGGTCGCCTAAACTTACTAAATTAGCACCCATTTATGCAGAGTTCAAAAACTAACCTCAACTTGGACATTGTGGCACATGCCTATACCTGAGGGAGGTTAAGGCAAAAGAATTTCTGAGAGTTTGAAACCAGTCTAGACTACATAACAAGTTTCTGGACAGTGAGCATTTTGAAGCAGGAGATACTCTCTCAAATAGAGAGGAGGGTGAGCACGAGGTTGTTACTGGGTCTTAGCTTTATTCTCTTCCTTGTTCTCTTTAATGATGAAGTATAAAATTCTATTTGTGGGGCAGGGGACATGGTTCAGTGGATAAGAACACTTCCTACATAAAAAGAGCCACAGCACCCATATAAAAACCTGGTTATGACCACCTGTACCCTTAGCACTGTGGGTGGGAAGAAAGGAGAAGCACTAGGGTATCCTGCCCACCAACCTAGCTGCAGGTTCAGTGAGAGCCTGTCTCAAGGAGTAAGGTACAGAGTACTAATGAATACTCCATGCTCTCTAGCCTCAGTGCACACGCACTGCCTCATTACAAAAAAAAAAAAAATCTTGTGTCCTTTTTTTCATATGTTGCACTTCAATAAAAAAATTCATTAAAAATGTTAATTACAAAAGGAACTCTTCTCGATGATTAACTGGCCACCTAAGTTGTAAGGGAAAATAAAGGAAGACCCACTTAAGGAAAATTGGGTGGGTCTTACAGACAGGCAAAACAACCGCTGTTTACAACAAGCTACTGGCTGGAGTTCTGTCACAGAATATCACTTTGTCGAAGCCCATGAAAGAGGCAGGTAGCCTCTGAAATATGCTAGGATAAAGCGGAGTCAAAATCATAGATTTGCAGCCACAGCTATAACTGGGATGAGGTCTGGATGGCCACTGAAGAGCACACTACTGCAGTCTAAGTCCAGGCTAAGACAGTTATCAAGCCCAGATTTGGCCACTGTATTTATAATTTCTACCAAAACAGAATCACCACACTTAAGCCCCAAAGTCGTTACTTTCAAGCTAGATCTAATACAAATAAAGGTTTTTCAAAGAGATTCCTGGTGTCATTAGTTCAAAAGGTAAGAAGCTAGGGTTGTATACAGGATTCCAATTTACTAGTTCACGAAGCGCACAGTAGGAGACGTCTGGCTCATAGGCTAAATACCTAACTGAAGAATGAAACTGTTAATCTGGAAGCACACAGCACAGCATGGCACAAAGCATATGGTAGCTTCTTTAATGAGCCCTTGGTTTTTCTTGAATCCTCTTTATCCCTCTGCTGTGTCTCACACCATTTAGAGTCCCAATTCTTTTTTAGAAAATATCAGGATTAGCCATGAAGCCCATTAAAGAGAAGCTTGCTAACACACATTTGAGAACTTTCCTATTTGCCATAAGCATGAATAATGAGGAATTTATATATTGTTATGGAATGGAATGAACTATGACATTTCTCATCTGAAACACTACTCATTAACCTAGCCAATAAATCCCCCATCCCTCACATTCCACAGTGCTAACAATGGACCCAAGTGTCCAGAAACTGAGGACTACACAAGGTGCTATGTATAGATCCTTCCCTAACCCTCAAGCAACCCCATAAAGTAACAATTACTGCCTCCATTGTACTGGTTCATTTATGGGTTCATGGGTTTAAGGAAGGTTACACAACCAATTAAGTTGCAGAGGTATGATATAAACCCTAGTACCAAACTAAAACAACTGCAAATTTCATGAGGCCTTGAAGCCAGTCATCCAATCTACATACATTCTGAAAGCCAACAGTCTAAGCACTCACTAGGCTCTTTGAGACGCAGCTGTATGGCAGGGCTATCACTCTTGTCTCGCTTTATGCCTAGCACCTCCCGTTCCCACTCTCTCTCGCGGTTTTCTTCTTCAATTTGCCGCTCAGCTTGGGAACAAATCCGTAGCAGCCTCAAGCAGAGAATCTGATGCAGTCGCATAAAAATATACCAGTTATTATTAACATAGAAGAGGTTATATACTTCATCCATTCCTCTTAACTTCTGAGCTGCTGTGTTACTAAATAACAACTTGGACTTAGGGGGACTGCCCCCAACACCATTGTGCTTCTTAGGTGCCCCTGTGGCTTCGTCCACATCCATTTCTTCCTCTTCTTCTTCTTCCACATCTGAGAGATCACCTCTCTGAGCAAACAGCAGATCAGGAATGAAATGATGCATGATTTGCTTGATTTTGTACTTGTCCTCTTTCTGAATGCCTGTCTGCCTCTTCACATGATGGATGATCAGAGCAGCAGCATCTTCTAGTATCTGCTTGTCTTCATAGGCGAGGGAAAGGTGTGGGCCAACTGGTACACCAGCATTCTCTTCTGTAGCCTGTTCTTGTCTCTGGTGGAATAGACACAAAACCATTCTGACATGTATACAGCAACAAGCTTAAAAGACTGTATGCCAGGCGGTGGTTGAGCACACCTTTAATCCCAGCACTCAGGAGACAGAGGCAGGTGAATCTAAGCGAGGTCAGCCTGGTCTAAAAAGCCAAGAACCCAGTTCTAGGATCGCAAGAGCTATACACAGAAACCCTGTCTTGAAAAACAAAAATAAACAAACAAAAAAAAACTACACCAGCAGCACATTTTATTATAAACCACAGTGAAAACAAGGCACACTGGCACTATCTTTAATTCCAGCCTTTGGGTGGCTATGCCAGAAAAATTGAACATGCTAAGCCAGTTTGGGCTTATCCAATGAGATTCCCATCTCAAAACAGACAGACAGATACATAATAATGGCTACCCAATCTGAAATACAGGAATTGAGCTCAATTTTCATCTCTCTTCCAAATATTCATGGGTACTATGGTCAGTGTGGCTTGATACAAAAAGATTAGTACCTTCAGATATTGAAGACTTAAGAGAACAGTCTTTAAAATTTTAGATTAGCGCTTATGGGTGATATAAAAATATTAGGGTGGAGTTTGTCACATGGAGGTTAACATGGTCAAACATAGACAACTAAGTGAAAAAGTTCACTTACTATTTTTATTCTTTGAAACTAAGGTTCACTTTTAGAAAGCTTCCTACCTCCTGAGACAGGTCAACTTATATTACCCGATTCTTGGCTCCTAGTACTATTTACACTCCCAGTAAGTGTGCAGAGTGACAGGGATTACCAACACTTTTTAAACTGAGGTAGATAAGAGGGTTTCCACAGATACAAGATATTTGTTGGGAGAAGTGGGGGGGAAGGGGACCAAAGGTATAAACTAAAACCAGAATGATAAATTAGGAAACTAGAGGAAGGACTAACTGTAACAATGAGTCTTAGGTCTAAGATGTAGACCAGGAATCAAAAGTTATGACGGACTCTATTCATGAAGAAAGAAGCAGCAGTTCTCAGTGACTGGAGAGTGAAAGCCAGGCTGAACATAGAGACCAAAGCTGACGGAGATGTAGCTCACCCAGCTCACCTCATCATAGATGCTCTCAATCTCATTGAGTAGGCTCTTAGACCTCAGGACCTTGGTGTCATTCTGTTTGAAATTGATGCCCTGGTGATCCAAAGACTTCAAGTAGTACTTCTCATTTTGCTCTCGCCACACCTTGTTAAAGCCTCTCTGAGCTTCTCGCCATTCTTCCTCTTTCATCTTCAACCTTAGCAGGGTGGGAAAGAATGTAAATAACAATTGAGAATTTAGAGGGTGTAGGAATGAGAAATATGCCGGGCTTATATCATTTGATGCAAACTTGAACCTATGCAAATTCTGATCAATGGTTGATACTTGAGATAATATACTTGGTATTACGTAAATGAGGTTTTTTGGAAAGTGGAGCGGTTTTGTTTTTCTAGATAAGTCTTACTGTGAAGTTTTGGCCTAGAACATGCTATACAGACCACACAAGTGGTCAAACTTACAGTAATTCTGTCTTCCACCTCCTCATTTATGATATAATAGGAACGAGAACCCACATCTGGCTTCCTACCCTGAGTATTGAGAAAGTTGAGTGAAAGTTGGGTGTGGTGGTACATGCCTTTAATCCCAGACCTTGGGAGGCAGAGGCAGGCAGATCTTTGTGAATTCAAGACCAGCCTGGCCTACAAAGTTCCAGGACAGCCAAGGCTACACAGAGAAACCCTGTCTAAGAAAAAAGAAAAAAAAAAAAGTAACATCAATGAGGTTTCCATGAGGGAGCATGGAGTGGTTTCTGAGACAAGGACTCACTCTGAAGCATTCATGATTTGAAATTGACAATGTAGACCAAGCTAACATCAAATTTACAGCAATCTTCCTCCTAGTGTGAGAACTATATGCATGAGCCACATATGGCTCCGATAAATATTCTTGAAAACTAACTTCTCCTTGTCTAACTAAAGCAACATTGAAGTTGCTGCTACGTCATGACTCAGAATGCTTACTGAGATAATGAAATCCAAAGTCCCAGACAGGACATTTGGTGAAGGGGGGAGTTTGCAAGTTCAAAGTCAGCCTGGACAATATAGCGAGATGTTATTCCAAAACAAAGTTCTTAAACACATACAGATACAGACACAGACGCACACACAGATTGGGATATGGTAAAACATTTGCCTACCAAGCATGTTACACAAATGGTCCTAAGTTCAATCTCCTCTACTGAGAAACAAAAACTAAAACACAACCCTGAAATATAAATTCAAAGCACGTTATCACACACTAACTCACTTTCTCTCTCTCTGGCACAGGAAACTGAACTCAAGGATTTATGGTTGTCATGTAAGCACTCTGTCACTGAGGCTCATCCTAATCCTTCATCCGTTACCTGTCAACATTTATTCCATTTGGTATTCAAATCCCTTAACCAAGTTCCAAAGTAAAACAACCAAGGAAGAAAACTGGAACTCTAAAACCATGTGGAAAATGAAAACCCTATTTAATAGGATACTGAACTTCTCAGAAGATACACACCTTTTAAGAACAATTGGAACAGCAATGGAGGGATTCTTCCTCAGACCATCAATGATATCAGCTGCTTTATCGGCATATATCCTCTGCAGTGCTTTCCTATGGATGACTTCTGAGGTGCCCCCAAGGGTGTTATCCAAGCGAAATTTGGCTTGTTCCTCAGCAGACAAGCGTGAAAGTTTTTTCTGTATTGCTTCCAGAACCCGGATTGTTGCAAGATTGGTCTCTAAAACTACATCAAGCTTAAAACAAAACAAAAGAACAGAAGAGTGTGCTCAGGCCCAAAACCAGAATATAGCAGAGCTGGGAGAATAAGGAGTGTCCAATCCCTTGAGATTGGAGTCATGGTTTCTATACAAGCCACGTAAGACTCTCTACAATAAGCTGTGAACAATGGCACCTGCTACTTTCATAAAGCTGTCTTCTGGAAGCACATAAAGTGATCAGCAGTCATCATACCTATCACAACTTCCACACACTGTTTAGCACCACTGACCACAGGCCAGTGGGACCTAAGAGAAGTCTACTACTCTACTGATATATTTCCTTACACTTTTGCTTATACTGAGACAAGGCCTTACAATGGATGACCTGGAACTTGCAATATAGACTAGACGGGCCTTCAACATATGGCAAGTTCTTGCCCCTGCTACCTAAAGGCTGGGATTACAAATGTGAGTCACTATATCTGGTCTAACCTATAAGAAAACAATCCCAAAAGACAGTTATGAGACTAACAAGTTTGTGAGTATTAAATATGTCTAAGATTTAAATATTAAGTTACTGCTTCACATCCAATAGCAACAAATTCAGGATTATCCTTTCCTTTTGAAACAGGTTAGCATGTAGCTCTGACTGACATCCAACTGTCCATGCAGGTGAGGATGACCATAAATTCTTAAATCCTTCAGCCTTCTCCACCCCAGGGATTATAATTATACTACATTGCCCTTACTTAAAAATGATTTTCAGTTGATTAAAAACATCCCATAGAGGCTGGAGAGATAGTTCATGGGTTAAGAGCAATGCCTGCTCTTTCAAAGGTCCTGAGTTCAATTCCCAGCAACCACATGGTGGCTTACAACCATCTGTTATGAAATCTGGTGTCCTCTTCTGGCTACAGACATACATGTAAGCAGAACACAGTATACATAATAAATAAATCTTTTTAAAAAACAAGAAAAAACAAAAACTTCCCACAGAAGCCAGGTGTGGTGGTGTACACATTTATCCGGCACTCAGGAGGCAGAGGCAGGTAGATCTGAGTTCAAGGCCAGACTGGTATACAGAGAGTTCTAGGATAGCCAGGGTTACACAGAGAAACCCTGTTGAAAAATGAAGGAATGAATGAATGAATAAAACTTCCCATAGAAATTAACACTTAATACAATTTAGTTTTCTGAAAAGATAATCAGAGGTCATTAATTCCAGGGCTGGTGTGGTTTGAATGAAGATAGCCCCAAGAGGCTCATATATTTAAATAGTTAATCCTTAGTTGTAAAACTGTCTAGAAAAAAATAAAGAGGAGCAGTGTTATTGGTGGTGGTATATCACTAGGAGGTGGGCCTCTAGGTTTCAAAGGACTAATAAGATTCTCAATGCGTTCTCTCTGCCTCCTGGATATGGCTCAGGATCAAGATGAGAGCTCTCAGTTGTTGCTTTCCTCCACCACATGGACTCTAACCCTCTGAAGATTTAAACCAAGTCAAACTCTTTTACAGGTTGTTTCGGTCATGGCATTTTATCAGTGATAGGAATGTAACTAAGATGGGGAAAAGATGACAACCACCAGTCACTGGGGAGACAGCATGATTGCTCTACCGAGGGAATGAGCTCTCTCCCACTGATCTGAAGAAGCAGGCCCAGGCAACACAGTGTAATAAATAGACTAAGTCAGATACATACATGCAAAACACAATTAACTCCCTTCAATGTGGTATTAGTAAATATCATCTGATAATGGAAATTTTTTTTTTGAGTCTCGTTTCAGAAATTCTCTTCCTACAATAGGGGATCTCTGCTAGCTGTTTTATTCTTTCTAGATCTACCCATCCCAGTGACTACTTTTACAATTTAAGTCTTACTGGCATGTACTACTAGGGTTGACTCTTTAATCTTTTTTTAAAATAATTTATTTCAATTTATTTTATGTGCATTGATGTGAAGGTGTCAGATCCCCTGGAACTGGAGTTACAGACAGTTGTAAGCTGCCATGTGGGTGCTGGCAACTGAACCCAGGTCTTCCTGAAGATCAGCCAGTGATTTTAAGCACTAAGCCATCACTCCAGACCCTCTTTTTAAGTTAATTCATACACAGTACTTAAATACCCCTTCATTTTACATCTTCCTTGTTTCCCAAACTTCAAATCACAAAGGAGGATACCTCAAATCGTTCATCTTCACAACGATAAATATGTTCTTCATACTGAGTTTTCTTGGAACTAACAAAAGTGGAGTCTTCAGACCACGATGGGAAGGAAACCCAGGTATCATTTAAAACCTTTGGATGGAAAAAGAGGAGGCAGAAAAGCTTGTAAAAATTTACTGGTAATTAAACACTCTCAATAAAAAGACAATGCTACAGAGAGGAAAAAACACTGGCTGGATTTATGTCAATTTGACGCAAGCTAGAGTTATCTGAAAGGAGGCAACCTCAGTTGAGAGAAAATACCTTCATTAAGAAGAGTAAGATCTGGCTATATGCAAACCTGTAAGGTATTTTCTTAACAAGTGACTGATGGAGAAGGGTCCAGCACATTATGGATGGTTCCATCCCTAGACTGCTGGTCTTTAGTTCTACAAGAAAGCAGCTGAGTAAGACATGAGGAACAAGCCAGTAAGCAGCACCCCTCCACGGTCTCTGCATTAGCTCCTGCCTCCAGTCCTGTCTGAGTTCCCACCTGATCTCTTTCAGTGATGTGGAAGCACAAGCCAGACAGTTAGTTTTGCCCCCAAGTCATGGTGTTACATTAGAGCAATAGAAACCAAGCTAAGACACCTTGTTTATAAAAGAGTAAAGAAAGTTCTGAATAAAAGTTTTCTTTTGAAAAAAAAGAAGGTACATGATTTCACAATTCATATAAATGATGGTCTTTCTTGTAACAGGGTTAGCAGATAATAAGAACACTTGTCATCAAACCAGACCACCTGAACCTGGCGTCTGAACCTGGAAACCCACATGGTAGGAGACAAACAGCTGACAAGCTGTCTCTGCTCTCCACAAGCAGATCACAGCTTACATGCATATATACTTATCAACCAAATAAATGAAAACTTAAAAAAAATTCTGGCCCTGGTACTATCATTACACTCTTTTGAAGAATCTGAAGATCCAATGCTGACCCTTACCTCTTTACACAGAGGAGTCCGTCCTGTACACTTGGGCTGCTGGTAACTTTTTGGTAGGGCTCGGTAGCTAGAGCCCAATCTTTTACAAGAGGCATAGTCGATCTCCATGGCAATGCCTTCTGTAGCTCGTTCCTTTGGAAAACTTTCCAGATGCACAGACTCTTTATAGCCCAGAAAGTTCTTAAACCAATTAAACAATTCAGGGAATTTCCTGAAGAACCAAACCAAAAACTGGTAAGCAATTTGAGGCAGGATGCAGTTATTATGAGGAACAACATCACAATTCATGGTCAGGTCACAACTCTGCTACCAGAGACAATTATTTTCTACCTGAGAAGCATCCTTTAATTAGTTAGGTTCCATTTTCCTTATATAATGCTCTACAACAAGACAGTAAGAAACTAAGAAGCCATTCTTTGGCTCAAGAATTATACTTCACTGTTCATATAATCCTCAGGACGGCAAATGCAACCAAGATTCTAGAGCCCTGGGCGATCAGTGTCTATAAACATCTTGTGCTGGTCAGACAATAGAGAGACCATGAGTGTTGCATCATTAGCTGATACGCTGTGAACACTTTTCTTCTTTTTTTTTTTTTTTTTTTTTTTTGGAGACAGGGTCTCTCTGTCTCCCTGGTGCTGGGATTAAAGGCCTGTGCCACCACACCCACCCCGAAAGTTAGAAGACATATAAGGCCCCCTCTGGCACTGTCCTTTGTGGCAACTCAAATACCTTTGTCTATTACCTGCCCTCACAAGTACGAGGGCTAGGCTGTTCACCTCACTCACCCCAGGAAAGGAGAGACCAGCTGCACCAGCTCAGCCCGAGAGATGACCTCCTGGTTGAAGATGACCAGGCAGCGCAGGAAGTTCTCATAGGCCTCTGCGCTCCGGAGAGCCTTCCGGACCTTACAAGGAGAATCAGGGTCATCAATTGTTTTTAATAGAGTAAATTTAATCTGATATTCACTAAGGAATCAATGTTACTTTGTTTAGATACAATCAGAAAAATCACCCTAAAAAAAAATAAGACACTGTAATATGTCTCCAAACAGTCTAAAATGGATAGGAATGCACGTGGAACCACTGACACTGCATGGTAAGAGCACAAAGGGTCGTTTCACTATTCTCTAATTTTACATGTGTTTAGAATTTTCTATAATTAAAACATTAGATCATGCATAATACCTTCTCAAATGCTTGCTACTCCAGACCATGTCAGTTACAAAGCTTCAGTAACCCATCTTAACAGATATTTACAGGAATTTTTATTAATACTATTTTCATATTGTTAAAAATTTTCTTTTTGCTTTGTTTCAGGCATGATGTCATATAGCAGAGGCAGACCATTAAACTTGCTATATATAGCCAAGGATAGCCTATAAATTCTGGATACTCTTCCTCCTAATGCATGGAATCTCAGCATTCTTGAGGCGGGGCAGTAGGAACAACACCAAGTTCAAGACCAATCTGCTTCTGAGGCCAGCCAGAAATGCAACAAGATCTCGCTTCAAAAACCAAAAATGAGCCGAGGGGGTTAGAAAGATGGCTTAGTGGTTAAAAGTGCTCTTCCCATTCTTGCAGAGGACCCAGGGTTCAGTGCCAACAAACATGAGGTAGTTCAAAACCACCTATATATGTGTGGCATAGACGAGTTAATAAAGGCACATACATACACCTAATAATTAAATCTTAAAAGCAACAACAGAAAAAGCCTGAGAATATGGATCAAATGGCTAAGGGATTCTTCCACGAGCAGAGGACCAGAGTTTGTATTCCCAGCACCCACATAAAACATTAGGCAAAACAGCACAAAACTGTAATCGCAGCTATGGAGAATTAGAGACAAGAAGATCCCCAAGGCTTACAGACAATTCAGTGTAAGCCAATCAGTGAGCTCTAGGTTCGATGAGTCCTTGTCTCAAAAAATAATGTAGAGATGCAACTGAAGACAATACATAACACTGACCTCTGACCGCCACATAGGTATGCACACATGCATATAAATAGACTCACACATGAACAAGTATACACACACAGCCAAAACAAACAAGGGACTGAGATGGTTCAATGAATAAAGCATCTGCCATGCAAGTTTGAGGAGAGAACTGGGATCTGCAGACCATATAAAGCCAGATGCAGCAGTGTACGATCTGTAACCCCAGCACACCTACAGGAGGCAGACAGGAGATTCCCTAGAACTCCAGGGCCAGCTACCTTAAGCTGTCAATGGTGCTCAGCGAAAGACCCTGCCTCAAGTAAGGTGAAAGATGATAACAGACATTTATGTCTTGATTGCACACGCAAACTCTCTCCCTCCCACCCCCCTCTCTCTCACACACACATGGCTATTATCCTACTTACAGAATTGAAAACTAACATTTTAAAAGCCTCAAAAATTTAAAATAGTTAGCAGCTTACAGAAAATGTAAAACTACCAAATGAGGTGGTAAGTCTGGAGTGTTAGTTTTAAAAGCCAGTAGTCAGCACTGTGGACCTGCATGCCTAGGACTTAGCAACACACTTGTCTGATATGTTCAGATTCCTCCTCCTGTGTAGCAGGAGGCACAAAACAGGCACTACACAGCACAGACTGGAATTCACAGATGCACAATCCCTTGATAGGAAAGGCTTTCTACTAAAAAATTATTTTTTGAAGATTTATTTATTAATTATGTATACAGCATTCTACTTGCATGTGTGCCTGCAGGCCAGAAGAGGGCACCAGATCTTATTACAGATGGTTATGAGCCATCATGTGGTTGCTGGGAATTGAACTCAGAACCTCTGGAAGAATAGTCAGTGCTCTTAACCTCTGAGCCATCTCTGCAGCCCCTAAAAAATTATTTTTTGAGGCAGGATTTCACTGCATAGCCCAGGCTGGCTGAGAACTTGTGGCAAGTCTTCTGCCTCTGTCTGTCAGGTGCTAGGATTGAGTGTGCACCACTACACCCAACTTCTGAAATATGAACTTTTAAGGTTACAGATTAAAGAAGACTACACTTTTTGTAGTGTATGTCAGTTATTTCCTTTTAATTTATCAGCTTTTAAACTGTCCAACATGCCCTAATGATAGTCACTCAACCTAAATGATAAATGCATAGTAAATCTTTTGTCATTCGTTAACCATTTCTCTTTTCAATGAATTAAAAAGAAACTTTAAGATAGTTACTATAAACATACTTTTAGTTGTATATATTTATGTATATATACATACACATATGTACAAAAAAATGTACTCCTAATACCATTATCCTTCATCAGGAGAGCTCCCGAAGACATAGAGACAGACAACTATCTGGAGCTATCATTAATGCAGCCATTAAATAATTTGTTTTCTGCCAATACCCAGAGGTCCTGTAAGAAGCCCATCAACTGCCTACTTTACTGATGGAAACTGCTTGCTAATCATCACCTCGCTCTAAGGACAGAATCAGATATAGAAATACAGTCAAACTAAAATAGAATTCATGGTGTCCACCAGAAACTTCAACTCTAACTACTGTATAAAAACACTTAAGATCTTTGAAAACATTCAAGTAGTCAAGAATTCTCAAGCTAGGCATGGTAGTGTGTGCCTACAGCCTATTTAGGAGGTAGAGGAAGAAGAGTAGTAGTTAAAAGTCATCCTTGGTTTCAGAGGAAGTTTGAGGCAAATCTGGGTGATGATGTAAGAGAATTCTCACTCCTGTACCACCAGGAAGTGGCAGAACAACTAGATTACAAGTCACTTAAAGCACTGCAGCTCAACTGCAGAGAACATGCCTAGTGTGTGTGTCTGAGCCGCTGAGCTCCACAACCAGTCTACTCATAAAAGGAAAACAGGGCATGGGGCATACACCCTTGTTTCCTAGCACTAGGGAAGCAAAGGCAGACATAATTCTATGAATCTGAGGTAAGCCTGTTCTACACAGTAAATCCCAGGCCAGCTAAGACTACACAGTGAGACGTAGTTAAGATCCTTACTTAAAAAAAAAAAAAAATGTGTATGTGTGTGTATAAATAAAAAATAAAAAAAGAACAGGTGGGCTATTATGTGGTGGCACTTGGGTGGTCAAAGAAGGATCAGGAACTGAAGGCCTAAGCTACAAGGTGAGCTTAAGGCCAACTTAAGTTACATATAGAAAAATTTCTTCTCCAAACAAAACAAAATCAACGAATTAAATACAATATTTAATTCTTTAATTAAACAATACCAAAAAACCCTCATCAGTTGACATATTTTAGACAAAGCCTTGGAGATCAGATGATCGTCCTTAACAACTAATATCAAATGTTACCCATTACTTACCTTATCAAAAAATAATGATTCTGTTCCAACACCATGCTTGCTGGCATCTGCCATTGAAGATTCCTTTAGACTAAGCAGTTTGGGTTTTTTCTGGAATTAAAAAAAGAAGAAATAAAACAAAAACAAACACAGTGATTTCCTTTAAATTTGCTGGAATAGCTCTACTACTAATAACATGGAACAAATGAGAATTCAGCCACAAATTTCTATCATGACCTTTTCTTCTACTTTAGTTTTCTTGACAGTTTCTTTCTATCAAAGGCTTTCAGATCACTCTGCTCACAAACGTTCGCGCTGTGACCAATGTTTAGAATTAATGTCCTCCCCTTTTATGCTGGCTTTAATCTTATGATACTCCTGCCTCTGCTACCTTCAGAAAATCCTACTGATATTTGAAACCGTAACTTAAGCCTGGCTTGTGAAGTTCAGAGGTAAGTTCAAAGACTCTATTGGAACTATCTGCTGTTCTTAATTAAGACTTTGTGGTTCTGCATAGCTGAGGCTGAAGAGTCAAAATCTCAACACTCATGAAGCAGAGGCAAGGGAATGAGTTAAAGGCCAGCCTGGTCTACAAAGGGAGTTCAGGACAGGGCTACACAAAGAAACCTTGTCTAGAAAAACAAGAGAGAGAGAGCATGCAAGAGCGAGTGCGCACGTGCACATAGCACCATTCAAGTAAAACCTCTGCATTA